AATTAAACAAAAACAAACAAACAACATATCATAGAGATAGAAAACAGCATGGTGATTACCAGAGGGAAAGGGGGTGGGCGAAGGTAAAAGGGTATAGGGAGAATGAATGGTGATGCAAGGGGTCACGAACACACAATACAATATACAGTTGGTGTATTATAGAATTGTATAACTGAAACATATATAATTTTATTAATCAACGTAACTTGCAATTAAAAAAGAAAGAAAATAAAAAATGAAATTTATTTCCTCAGTTCATAGCCAATGTCAAGTGCTCAATAGTCACATATAGTTAATGGCTACCACATTAGAAAGTATTACATACAATACAGCCTGCTTTTAACTTATAAGATCGTCTAAAATGAAATTTTTTCCCAGTAGAAATAAAAAGTTTCCATTCTGAAGAAAACTTTTATTTAATTTTAAGTATTGTGGCAAACTTTAGAAAGCAAGGTTCCAGATTATCTCTATAGCTATAAACAAAAATTACATTTTGGTGGCAATAAACTCTTTGATGGCAATAAAGATTGCAATATACTCCAAGGTTGGATTTTTCTTCCCATATTTTTAAATAATTTTTTTCTTTTATCAGTTGAGTTTATTTGTATTTATGTTTTATAGAATATGTATTCCTATGCCTGTCTTCTCATGTTTATTTCCTAATTTCCTAATACAGTCTGTATTTGTTCCTGTTCTTTAAATTTCCCATTTCTCTTTATATTTTTATATATCTCTCTCTCTTCCATTTTTTACTCCCATTTCACTTTGAACTAGACATAAATTAGAATGAAATATATTTTATTATGCATTGTATCTATTTTTAAAATTTTATGTCAGTTACTTTTTTAAATAGTTAGAAAACTTCTTTAAAACAAAATCAAATCTACTAAAATTTAAATTATGCTTCCTTCTGCTACATGATTCTTAAATAATTTTCTTCTGTTTAAAATGATTTAATTAAACAAGAAGTAGTTCCTCATCATTGTTTCAGCAGAACAAAGGAGGCAATTATTCCTAAAATGAAAGACACAAATACCAAGACTGCAATAGGGTCTATTTAGAAGGACATCTCCCCTACAGGAAGTGTCAGTCTTACAACATGCAGTTGTTTTTTCCTAAGAAAGATTATTTAAAGAAGTCTTTGTGAGCATCATTTATTTTCTTTTTGCCTATCTCTTCACCAGTAATATGTTGAATCTAACATATTTATTATCTACTTTACCACTTTATTTTCATTCTTAACATATCAATGATTTCCTTTCAATTATACTATTCTTTTACTCTTTTTGAATTGCTGTGTAAAACATAAATCACCTCCTTTAGCAGACCACTTACTCAGACCTAATACTGTAAACATGCTTGGTCTTCCATTATCTCAGTCACTGATGGAATGTTGATTTTAGAACCCTAGTGAGAAGCTAGGAAAAATCCTAGGTGAGTGGAATAGGGAAACTGGCACTAGATAATTAAACAAGGTCAAACAATTTGACCAATTTACAGCCAGCTAGTGAATTACAATACCTTATCTTCCCTAACACACCTGAGAGCAGATCGTTTATACTTGTCCTCCCTAACCAGAGAATACATAGCTTTAATCACCCTGGTCAGGGAGATAGAGAACAGAGACCCAATTAATGTCATTTGTGCCAGCCAAACCCAAGAAGATGAAGTCAGGGGAGCAAATAACAAAAACCCAATTAGAGCCAGACAGACCCAAGATAAAAGTAAAACAGTAAAGCCAACCGAAGAAAATCCAAAAAGCCCCTATATGCTCTTTTGGATACATCAGCATATTGAAGATGATCTTGGAAAGCTAATGAATATTCTGCTGAAACCCACCCCTAAGATTCTTGCCTGCAGAAGAAAGATAAAAACCCTCAAGACAAAGGATACCAGCACAGGCTTGCTCTGGAGCATGCCCATGCCTGTTCTCAGGCATGAACTTTATTTTTTAATGTTGGTTATATTGTATTTTATTTTTAAAAAAATTTATTGATTAAGTTATTACATATGTGTCCTTATCCCCACATTACCCACCCATCCCCCACTCATACCCTCTCCCCCCTGTTATCTGTGTCCATTGGTTAGGCCTATAAGCATGCATATAAGGCCTTTGGTTGATCTCTCTCCCTTACCCCCCACCCTTCCCTCCCTTCCCTCTGAGGTTTGACAGCCTGATCGACGTTTCTCTAAAGGCATGAACTTTTTATTTTTCTTCTCCTAAACTCTAAAGATCCCCATGAGACTTGCAATCAGGGGATCGGCGAGAGGCAGCTTGTCCCAGGCTACCCCCTTGAACCTTTCTCCAAGGCCCCCCTTTCTCTGATTTTCCAGTGAGCCAAAGCAGCCCAGCCTTGGCTTCTTTCCTATAAGGTGTCCAGGGAGCCAACGCAAAGCACTTCCTAGGCTCTCTCCTGTTGCTTCTTCTACCCTAAGTCCTTCCTTAGTTTTACTGTCCCCAACTTTAATAAATATACTCTCAAAACCACCTGGACTCGTATTATGAACTATCTCCTGCACAAAGTCAAGAAGCCACACTCTACTGGCAAACCTGAAGCAGACCTGCTCTGGGTTTGGTTCCTATCTGGTGACATTACTAGAGAGGTAAATGCTTTTGTTGTTCTTCATATTTATAAGGAACAAAGAGAAGAAATAAATGGAAACATCTACAACTCTTTAGGTGGGACATCTGCTGTCTTGAAATGAAATGACCAGAATGACAGGAGAAAGAGACCACTATATGAAATCTGAATTCAACAATATAACAGCGCCTTTTATCTGTTTTTTTAGTAGTATAGCTCTAGTTCCTCTTAATAATTAGAATGACTTTTATAAAACCCTTATAAAAATACCAATTGTCTTGCAGATGTAATACTTGGTCTTAATTTTATATATCATATATAAACTGAAAGAAGCGAGGGATGTTAGATGGTAATGAATCTCATCTGTTAAAGAGTGAGTTATTTAACTGTTTGACTGTTAAATAATGTGGAAAAGAAATAGAGGAGAAATACATGATAAGAAATAAAACACAAAGCACAGTGGAAGAGTCTGCAACTTTTAATCTTAGAGGTACTTAAAAGGTTTCTTCTATGTTCTAAGGACAGTCTCAATGTTTGCAAGAGTCTGCAAAAACTAACAGTATAATAGTTTTCAAGATGTACAATACTTAGGAGTAAGTTCAGAGGGGTTCCTGGTACTTATCTAACAGCAAGTTTTATACATGGAAGGAATGATAAATATCAAAGCCAATAAATGCCTAAGGAAAGAAGGAAGGAAGGAAATGGGGGGCGGGTAGAGGATGAAGGGAACAGAAAAGCTAATTTGGATGGTTCCATTTGTAAATTTTCACATTTCAGTTTTGCTTAGGAAGCAATGTGTGTGCTGGTGTATAGGTGTATGCATGTGTGTGCACATAAATTTGTGCTCACATATATGTGCCTTTGTGATGTAAAATATGTTTTTCATAATTTCTAATTTTGACTATACAAGAAAACCTCTCTACTATTAATATATTTAGTTTTAAACATACACAAAGCAGATATTTTTGTTTTAAATATGTGTTATTGTAAATATTTTTTTGATTTGAGAATTTTCTGTTTTTCTTTTCCTTCTTTCCATCTCTTCTCTTTCATTCTGTCTCCCCTTGCAATTAGTGAGTGGAACCTGATTTTCCCTCCTCTCTACACTCCATGTTCCACAACACGATTTAAAAACAAGTGTGCCACCCTAACCGGTTTGGCTCAGTGGATTGAGCATCGGCCTGCAGACTCAAGGGTCCCAGGTTCGATTCCAGTCAAGGGCATGTACTTTGGTTGCGGGCACATACCCAGTAGGGAGTGTGCTCCTGGCAGCTGATCAATGTTTCTCTTTCATTGATGTTTCTAACTCTCTATCCCTCTCCTTTCCTCTCTGTAAAAAATCAATAAAATATATTTAAAAACAAACAAACAAAAAAACCCCAGTGTGCCATGTAACTGAAAGCATGAGAAATATTGTTTTATATTTTGTTGTAGTTTGAGTTGTCAATCTTTTAAAATTTTTATCTCAATAATAAGCCATTTTGAGTGTGCACAAGCACACTCAAATTTGTATATTTTATATTCAATTATATTGATTGTTTCTATATAAACTGTAGGACTTTCTAAAAATAAACTTTAAATAATGGGATACAGCAATATATGTATAGAAATTTTACTATTATTGTTTTCATACCAGTAACTTATAATGTTTGTTGGGTGAGCACATTCTCAATATGGAGACCACTGTACAGGTCAGCCTCAGATTTTAATTTCTCCAGAATAATCAGGATTATTTTTTAAAATATTTATCTTTATTGTTGAAAATATTACAGATGTCCAGATTCTTTTTATGTAGATTAAGTTGAAAGGCTGATATTCTATAGAGAAAAAATGAAATATTTCAGGTAAATACAGGTTTGGGTTTTTTTTTTCCTAGCTTTTTAGGTAGGTATTCCTAAGGTATAATTCAAATTGGCTAAATGTTCAAATATCGGTATAGTTTAATAGTTCAATAAATTTTGGCAAATAGAGACTTGTGCCATTATAATTAAGGTATAGAACAAATCTGTCACCTTAAAAAGCTCTGTCATTTCTCTTTGCTGTCAATCTCCACTTCACCACCATTTAAATAAAAGAAACCTAAAGAACTTAATAATTGTGGTTACGTTTTTCTCAATCAGAAAAACTTTCATTTGCTTCATGCAAATAATCAATCCTGGATAGAGGCATTCCAGACTCCCAAATGAGGGAACATAAATAGAAGCATAGGACTGAAGCAGAAAAAGAGTGTGGCTTCAAGACCACACTCTTGAAGTTAAATAATGTAAAAAAAAAAAGGGAAAAATATGTCTTAGGTTGTGGGAAAATGAAGACATCATATAGATGTGACATACACTGATGTTAGTTATAGAAGAAGTATAACCTAGATGAAAAAGATGGAACTAAACTCTACTCCTTGATGTTCTGTAGGCAGAGGAAATGGAGATAGAAAATAGCACAGTCGTGAAAGAATTCATCCTTCTTGGTCTGACACAGTCTCAAAATATTCAGCTGCTGGTCTTTGTGCTAGTTTTAATTTTCTACCTCATCATCCTCCCTGGAAATTTCCTCATCATTCTCACCATCAGATCAGACCCTGGCCTCACAGCCCCCCTCTACTTCTTTCTGGGCAACTTGGCATTAGGCTTTGTCCACTCCATCATTCAGGTGGCCCTCATCCTCCGCTTGCCCTTCTGTGGCCCAAACCAACTGGATAACTTCTTCTGTGATGTGCCACAGGTCATCAAGCTGGCCTGCACAGACACCTTTGTGGTGGAGCTCCTGATGGTCTTCAACAGTGGCCTGCTCACTCTTCTGTGCTTCCTGGGCCTTCTGGCCTCCTATGCAGTCATCATCTGTCGTGCACATCGGTCGTCCTCTGAGGGGAAGAACAACGCCCTGTCCACTTGTACTACGCATGTCATTATTATACTTATCATGTTTGGACCTGCCATCTTCATCTACACTCGCCCCTTTAGGACCTTACCAGTGGATAAGGTGGTTTCCTTTTTTCATACAGTGATTATTCCTTTGTTGAACCCTGTGATTTATACCTTTCGCAACCAGGAAGTGAAATCTGCCATGAGGAGGTTATTGAGTCAATATGTGGTCTGCTGAATGGATTGTATAATAAGTCAGAACAGGGGAAGTTGGCTGTACATTATTTATTCATTTAATAAATATAATTTTTTCATTGATTCCCTCCCATTTGTCAGGTATTATTATAGGCAATGAGGGAAGATTATGAAAAAACTTGATGTGTTTGAAGACTATAAAAGAAACACCAGAGTGGTTGATGTATAAAGGGTGATAGAGGAGTTAAATTTTATCTGACTATAAGGATCAAATCACAAAGGTCTTTTAGGATAAGATAAGAAATTTTATTCTATTCTAATTGAAGTAAGAATTCATCTTAATATTTTAGGCAAGAAAGTCACTCATTCACAATTATCTTTTCTATGGTTTAGACTGAGCAACATTAGATTCTGGACAGAGATCAATAAGCTGAAAAACATCAGTAAGAACAAAATATTATTTGCAGACCTATATATGTTTTTTCTATATATATTTTCCTCCCCTCTGCTCAAATTTAGTAGAGGGATAAGATACAAAGATTATTGATTTTATGGAAAAATATTATGACATTGATTTTATTAATTTTTTTAGAGCTTCAGGATCATTACTAGTGGGATTTTACAAATACTCCCTGGATGTTAAAACTTGTCCTTAATTAATTTCACTCTGATTATGATAGTGATAGTTAATTAGTACTACAGATTCTATTGGAGATTACATAATTCAAACTAGTTTTTACTATAATAGGGTTTAATGCAGGAAATTAGGTATATAGAAATTGTTTTAAGAGGTAGAAAATCACTCTCTATGCTGGGAACCCAGACATAATTGCCAAAAATTACACATAACTGCCAATAAAACTAAGCTGCCCAGTGATCTATGCCTACAATAGTTAGGAGACTGGGAAAACAAGGCGCCACTTTGCTAGCTCCTGACTGAAGGAACATATCACTTAACTGTGGTCTGGGATCAGGAGCATGATATGCCTTTCATGTTATTGCCTCTTTCCAATTAATTTTTTTCTAAATTCAAGTTTCACATGAAAACATTTGATATGAACCTTAGATACAAAGGTTCATATGTTCACAGCTTCTTTGGAAAACTAAACAAGGCAAAAAATAGTGGTAAATATAGGTTATAGATTTATAATATTTTTTCTTTTTCTTTATTGATTAAGGTATTACATATGTGTCCTTATCTCCCATTGTCCACCCTTGTCCCACTCATGCCCTCACCCCCCTGGTGTCTGTGTCCATTGGTAGATTTATAATCTTATAAATGAGAAAGTTCAGTGAAGTATAATATAAAAATAGAAAATGAAAAACAGTTACAGTTGACATGTTAAAAAATATATGTGTAGGCCAAGGTAAAAAGGTGATGAAATTCTGCCCACCACATATGGATGTGTGGATTAATATCTGCACAATTATAGAGGTTTGAATGGAAATGGAATTGAATGTTCATTTCCTACCACAGGATGGTACAAGGAGGCATCCATACATAAAAATTAAAATTAAAAACCCCATTAACTATGAAAATTAATATAAATGATAAGAAGTTAATTCACTTAATGCTTTATAAGTGAATATGAAGTAGATACATTTTCAGAAGGAAATATGGGCAATCAAAACTAATAATGAATTAATGAAGGAAAAATGGAAAGGTTTATAAATATAAAAATAAAAACAATTTTATTCTCAAAAACCAACCATGAAAATAAAGATCTCTGATTCTGGTAAGTTTGTAGAAGAATGTTGCTCATGCATTAGCAACAATTAGAAAAGTACAAAATTGTCCTAGCTGGTTTGACTCAGTGGATAGAGCATCAGTTTGTGGACAGAAGGGTCCCAGGTTCGATCCCGGTGAAGGGCACATGGCCCCGATTGCAGGCTTGATCCCCTGTAGGGAGTGTGCAGGAGGCAGACAATCAATGATTCTCATTATTGATTTTTCTATCTCTCTCTCCCTCTTCCTTCTTCTCTGAATTCAATAAAAATGTTGGTTTTTTTTTAAAAAAGAGAAATACAAAATCAAAATTGTACTTTTCTATAAGACTATCAAAGAGTGAATGAAGCAAGGAAGCCTTATTGTCTTGAGCTCCATAGAGAGACAAGGCCTGTATAGATGAACAAAGATCCATGGCAGCTCATTTCTGCAG